GAGAGAGAGAGAGAGAGACACACACACACAGAGTGAGAGAGAGAGAGAGAGACACACACACAGAGTGAGAGAGAGAGAGAGACACACACACAGAGTGAGAGAGAGAGAGAGACACACACACAGAGTGAGAGAGAGAGAGAGACACACACACAGAGTGAGAGAGAGAGAGAGACACACACACAGAGTGAGAGAGAGAGAGAGACACACACACAGAGTGAGAGAGAGAGAGAGACACACACACAGAGTGAGAGAGAGAGAGAGACACACACACAGAGTGAGAGAGAGAGAGAGACACACACACAGAGTGAGAGAGAGAGAGAGACACACACACAGAGTGAGAGAGAGAGAGAGACACACACACACACAGAGAGAGAGAGAGAGAGCAGCAGCGCCTCCTCCTGGACACAAAGAGCAGCGACTGAGGATTTAGACAGATTTCATTCAAAGTGTATTTAAATTGAAATCTTTAAACCACTGTCAAATTATATGAAGCCTTTTTATTTACTTACGTCCCTATAGCCTTTCTGCGATTACTTATTTGAAATAATGTAATTTAAAATAACCACATAGCTGTAAAATATCAAATGTTGTCCTAAAAGTAAAAAAAAGAAAGAAATAAAAATAAACATTTACATAAATATTTATTATTAATGTAATTGAGTACATTATTGTGTATATTTACATAATAAATATAATGATATTTTTAAAAATAAGCAATAAAATATATTTAAAATCATTTTAAATAGTAAAAAAAACACTTACCAGATATTCACATTTAAAAATGTAAAGCTGTACAGAATTATGTAATTATATTATTCATATATTGTATTATTGAAATGAATAATTGATAAGAAAATCATATATTTACTTATTTTATTATATAAAATATATAATAAAAGTAAGTATTAAAATAGGTAAGTTATTTTAAAAGATAATTATTATATAGTCTGTATATAATGTATTTGTTATTCTTTTAAAATGTGTTTTAAAATATGTATTTATGATTATGTAAATTACAATAGTTATTTTATGTGTGTGTGTGTGTGTGTGTGTGTGCGTGTGTGTATATATATATATATATATATTATACACACACACAC